GGAGAAGCCGGAGGAGCAGGGGCAGAGGTGGGGACAGGAGCAGGAGCGGATGTGGGGGGAAATTAGGAAGAAGCAGGTGTGAGGGGAAGGGGAAGCTTCTGGGCCACGCTATCACGATGACCAGGCAGCTGACGCTGGCAGAGTATGCCACACACATGCTGCAGGTCTGCTGGGACAGCTCCTGCCAGATGGTGCAGCGCAGCTCCAAGTCTGCGTCCCACCTCTTCTCCTGCCTCTTTAGGCACCGCTGTAGGGCACACAGGCAGGCGATGTGTTCCTGCTCCAGGTCCTCACGGGGTCATTGGTGCTGGCAGCTCTTGCAGGGTTAGGAGGATGGCTCAGGAGGTGATGGACATGCTTCACTCACAGCCAGCCCACCTGTGAAGAAAAGCAACAAGGACAGTCATCCCAGGAGACACAGTGCATGAAGCTGAGCCCTCATCTCTGAGCCGACACTATCAGGTCTCGGTACTAATGAAGGTGATGTGCTGTGAGCAAGGTCATCTGTGTCTGGGACAGCAGGGACTGTCCTGCAGGGGCACGGGTGTCTCAGGGAAGTGTAGGAAGAAGTGTATTAGCTCCCCGCTGTTTACCTTCATTGTACAGTTGCCTCCAAGGCAGTAACAATCGTCAGGAGCTTTGCCAGAATTTGATGTCTCATAATAAACTGAACATTCCTCGGCGGGGGCATGCTAAGGAGTCCAGCTTTCTACTCTGTTTCTCCAATGCCAGCACCCCTCAGAGCTGCCTGAGTGGAAAGATGCAGCTGGCTGAGCAATATGGGTGAGGATGCTGAGTCCATGGGCAAGGTGGGGAGGCCTTGGCTCTGTGCTCCCCGAAGGGATGGGGCCTCAGGCAGAAGGAATGGGAACGGGACATCCAGTGCCACCCAGAGTGACCATGGGGTGTTCCAGTGGTGATTTAAAGGGCCCAGGGTTCTGGGCACTGCCGAGTGGAAAGATGCAGCTGGCTGAGCAATATGGGTGAGGATGCTGAGTCCATGGGCAAGGTGGGGAGGCCTTGGCTCTGTGCTCCCCGAAGGGATGGGGCCTCAGGCAGAAGGAATGGGAACGGGACATCCAGTGCCACCCAGAGTGACCATGGGGTGTTCCAGTGGTGATTTAAAGGGCCCAGGGTTCTGGGCACTGCCATTGTCACAGTAGCGGCGGCTGGAACTCTTGGCCCTTTTGAATCACTAAGTCAGTTGCCCCCATTATCTCCCCCATCTCTTCCTGGCAACGGCCCGAGCCCTGGGCCCTTTAAATTGCTGTTGGAGCCATGCACGGTGGATTCACAGCAGGACATTAGGTGAAAACAGTCAGTGGAGGTTTTTGTCTCAGTTCCCCATTTGAATGCACCATTGTGGAATAGCCACGCCGTCGTACCATAGGGCACAATAATAATCATCCTCATCCTCTGCCTTGACATTGGTGATGGTTAAATAAGCAACATTGCCAGAGCTAGAACCAGTGAATCGGTCTGAGACTCCAACACCTCTGCTGCTGGTGCGACGCAAGACAAAGCGAGGGGCTTGGCCAGATCCCTGTTGGTACCAATCCAGATTGGCGCTGCTAGGGCTGTAGTCACTGCTGATGGTACAAGACAGTTTGGCTGTTTGTCCTGGTGACACAGACGCTGAGGAGGGCTGAGTCAGAACTGGCTGAGAACAGGCACCTACGCAAGAATGAACAGGAACATATAACTAGCAGTTACACAGGCTCATGATGGGGATGTTCAAAGGAGGGCAAGAGATTTGGCTGCACAAAATTAATCCCCAGGAATACTTTGAAAACCTCAGCACTGATCTGCTGCCTTCCAAAACACCATTTAATTGCTCTGAATTAACAACCTCATAATCACAGCCTCTGATCAAAGTTTTGTGACAAGTCAACCCTCCCAGCTCACCCGAGCAGTAGGTGAGCAGTGTGAGGAGCAGGCAGGCCCAGGCCATACTGGATCCAGACGAGCTCGGCTTCCTGAAGCAAAGGGAGCTCTGGCTGGAACCCGCGGAGTCTTTCTTAAATCCCCAGCACTGGAGAATGGTCCCTTCATGCAAATCTGCTCCCTGCTCACTGGTTGCAGTAGCATTTCAGAGTCCCCCGCCCCCCTCCGCTGAGGAAGGCAGAAACTCTGAAATGGGATCTGTGCTCTCAGAGGTACTCAAAACCAGAGAGGATGAAAAAGCAGAATAATTTGCTTTTTTGGAATGAAACCTACAGAGATTCCCTGGCTCCCACACAGGACAGAGCAGCATGAATTCCCCTCTCTAGCACTGGGAGAATAAATAACTTCCTAGCTTCACAAGAAAGCTCTGTGCAGGGAAGGCTTCATAGCTTCCTCTCTTGTAGTCCCTAAAGTATACAGTCTTCTTCCACTATCTGTAAGACTCTACAGCTGCAGCAGGAAGCAGTGGCTACATTCAGCTCTTGATTGCCCACATGGAACCCCACTGAAGCATGGCTATAAACAAGAGCAGGCTTTGGACCATTGTTACCACTTTGAAATAGACACTAATGCAGCCAAAAAACAAGCCCTTTATAGGGCCCCTGCTTTTTAAAACAGGAGGTGGGGGTTTGGAAGCTTGTGGACAGTGGGATGCACGGACAACGGGGTGCTGATTCTGCAAGGCACTATGTACCCTCCGCTCAGGGCAGCTCAGACCCCCAACAGGGTCAGGAGCTAAGTGGCCAGGTACAAATGTATTCCTTGCAGGGCCAAATTCCAGTGTGGAAGTTCCATCTCAGCCTACGCCCTGATCCCAGGAAACTGATATGCTCCTGTCAATGGTGGGTTGATTGTGAGGGAGATATAAGAGGAAAGAACAAATTTGGAAAATAGGTAAAGAATGAGAACCTGCATATACACACTGGACACAAGGAGAACACGCAGGATTAATTCTCTGAGATTCCTAGGGGTGAATTAGGCTCATTTTTTATTATGGGCTTCACACTCTGGATCCTAAATAGGGCGAGTGTTTATGCCCCTCCCTGTCAGCTAACAGCATAGGAGGTTTGCTAATAATCTCACTAACCATGTCCTATGCACATCATTGTTGGGCAAGGAAAGGTGTGTGTGCATGTGTGTGTTGTGTGCACGCGCACATCTGTGTGTTTTCTCTGGCCATAATACACAGAGTCAGGGGAGCCAACAGCCTCTTCAGGCCTCAGAACAAGATGGGGGGGGGGGGGGCCTCGCTCTGT